ATTGTTCATGAGTTTATTTTTGGATTCAAAATGCTATTTTATTTAAAAAAAACGATTTATATATATTTGGGATAGAGGATTGCAACATTGGTTTTTCTTACGTATTAAACATTTGACTATTTACTAAATAGTTCAGCAAAATCATGTGATCTAATAAGTTAGTCAAAACTGCTAATGTATTTATTTTTGCGTATATATTAAATAATTTATTATTTACCGAAACAATTTGCATAACCATTTGATCTATTCGGCTAGTAACAACTGTTAATCTATCAACTTAAAAATTACAAATAACAAAAATGAAAATAAAAATTATAAATAGATGTCACTGATATTAGTAATTAAAAAATTGCAGGTTTTAACAATAACATTTGGTGGCATTGCATAATTGCATTAGGTCTTACTAGTGGACACTAATGGGCACGTGCGTCTCTTCGCAATTCAAAATTGGAGCAAAACAAAACAAATGATTGATTGCAAATGTGAATATGTGATCACGTTCTACTCGTGGTCGGCGTGTCTATTTCTATTTCATAAACCAATAGCCGACGGATTGCATTATTATGTTCCCATTATTAATTCGGTGTGACTCATATTTTTTGAATAGATAATTAATTATTTTTACACTTAAATACCATAAATTTAAATTTAATATAAACCGTCTCATGTCATAATCTGTATTGTTCGTGCAACTAATAAAATACAATGATTAATTCCACCTTTCTAATATTATGCCGTCTATATAGGCTAGTCAGTTCGCAACTATCTACTCGTCGATTGGGTGGGCCCCAGCCCATTTTTTAAATTAAACTTTTTACTGAATATATTATAATTTATAAAATACTACAGTTATAATAAATTTAATTAATAAATATATATTATATTACCATAAATATATAACTACATGCGAGCCGTGAAGGGAGAGGAGTATTAATTCAGAAATTTTATATAAATTTTGAGATTTTAAAACTTTTGGTGTATTTAACTTGAAATAGTTAAATAAAAACTTGAAATAGTTGAAAAAGTCAAAAGTCAGCATAAGTTGATTTATGGAAATATATTCGTTAGCTGCCTAACTCATACGACATTACATTACAACTAACATCAAATCAAATAATTGAGAGACATAATTGAGAGGGAGAAGAGTGCTTCTAAAGCAAAAGGAGGAGCAGAAATCCTCTCATCAATCTCTCATTTTCAAGCTTTTAAATCTGCAAAAATGGCGATATTGCATTGATATTAGGGGAATTCGTATTGCATTTTGATGCATATGTATTAGGTGCAAATCAAAATTTGAGCGAGAAACCAATATAGTTCAGGGGAAAGCTTTATTAATTTCGTTCATCTGTTCTGATATTTTTCTGTCGAGAAGAATGGAGAACGAGGGTGCGGCGAATGGCGGAGTAAGGAATAGGGAAAAATCAGGGAAGTTTCCGTTGACGGCGTGGGAGGTCACGGTGGCGAGCGGCGTCGTGTTGGGGTTTTCGTTTGGGTTGGTAGGGCTGTACCTGACGATGCCGGCATCTGATTACAGCTTCCTCAAGCTTCCTCGTTCTCTGCAAGATCTTCAAATTCTCAGGTGTGCTTTATGTTTGAATCGATGCTGCTCTTGAGTAATCTGGTTGTGATTATGTTATCTTACTTTTCTCTGGACGTTGTTTGTTGAGAAACAGGATTTTGGGTCCTGAAATTTTGTGCTGCAATAGTGGGACGAAGCTGTTTTTAGCTCAAAACAGTAATCAGTCGAAACATTAAGGATGATGATGGCATTTGCTTTAGAGATGTTTAGCCTTTTATTCATAAAAGTTTTCAGCCTTTCACTGGTAATTATGGACTCCATATGATGAGATAATATTATATCGCATGGGGAAATTAGAAAAATTATATATATCCCACATTTGCTACTTTGAATCATGAAAATGAGGAGAATGTGAGTTTATCGATTCTAGGGCGGAGAGTATTTCAGAAAACAACCAAAATAAGACAAATGAATAAGAACAATAGAACCAGTTGTGATGTGTGTTAAATTATCCTTTGCCTGTGAGTCTTCATGACTACAAAGTATAAACCTTCATTATTTGTGGAGAACCTAAGGCGTTTCTAGGATGTTTTACGAAATCCTGATTCATGATAGGCCTTGGACTAAATTTATTTTATTCAGCCAATGAATTAAAAATCAGGAAATAAAATATATGATTGGCTAGTTTAGTTAAATCGAAGGGATTACAGCGTGTTTAGAGATTTTTTTTTTTTTTTTTTNACGGTTAGGTTCATGAAGGTCTTTCTGCAGCTAGGATTAAACTTTTGTATTTCGCTGTGATTGGCTTGTCGTGAACAAGAAAAGATCACTGATACAGTAGAACTTTTGAATATGAAATCATAGGCGGAATTTTAGCTGATATAAAATTTTTGCAGTATCTCTGCAATTACATTAGTTTCAAACAGATTAAGCGTACATACATCCTGATATACAAACATCGTCACCGGAAATGTGTTATTAAGTTTCTTTATCTTTGATGTTTTTAGCTCCTCCATGGTATCTCTCCAAGACGCTATCCTTTCTGTTCCTTTATGTGCTTCACATAATATTTTGACCTGATCTTTTTAGTTCCTTTATGTCCTTCCTTTTCCTGTCTTTTCATATCTCTATGTTCTGTTTTTCTGAGGTCTTCTAATATTTTCCCTTTTGCTTCATTGTTCGAAGATTATACTACATTTGACACGAACTTCACTACTTTTGCTTGGTTTTTTGTAGGGATAACCTGGAGAGCTATACAAGTGATTACACTGTACAAGTTCTGGTGGGATACTGTTTGGTGTACATTTTCATGCAGACTTTTATGATCCCAGGAACAGTTTTCATGTCCTTACTTGCTGGAGCCCTTTTCGGGATCTTTAAAGGTGTGGCTCTGGTTGTGTTCACAGCAACAGCAGGTGCATCTTCTTGCTTCTTCTTATCCAAGATAGTTGGTCGACCACTCGTCTTCTCTCTCTGGCCTGAAAAGTTAGCTTTCTTTCAGTCCCAGGTGATTCATATCTCATATAATGTCATATCTAATCATCATATAACTTTTCTCATCGGTATTTATGTTCTTTCCACTTTTTCCAGGTGGCTAAAAGACGCGAACGGCTATTGAATTACATGCTTTTCCTTAGGGTAACCCCAACTTTGCCAAATACATTTCTAAATGTTGCATCACCAATTGTAGATGTTCCTTACCATATCTTCTTCTTGGCCACCTTCATTGGGATAATTCCTGCTGCATACGTGACTGTCAGGGTATGTCTCTTCAATTGCATTCTTCTGAAATTAGCATTTTCTTTAATTGTTACATGTGGAAGTGTTAAGTGCTTTGATTGGAATATATAACATTCTAGTGCCATGATATCAAATATGGACATTAGTAACTAAAAAATGGATAATGGGGTAATAAATAGATTGTCAAAATATAAGGACATTAGTAACTAAAATTTCGGTCTTGTAGTTTTCTTAATCTGAAACACAATCTTGTTGCAGATAGCAAAAATTTTCTCCATTTCATGTTGGCTTGAAGTTAGAAAAGCAAAATATGTGATGCATTCACTAGCCAGTAAAAAGCTTAAAAGTTAATATACCGAATGAGCTGAAGTTGCAATGTCCCCTGAAATTGTTTTTCTGAGAGATGAATCTTGTTTTTCCTATTTTTTTTCTCTTGCAGGCAGGAATAACTCTTGGCGAGTTGCAATCGGTTGGTGATCTGTATGACTTTCAGTCCATAGCAACTCTGTTTCTCATAGGTGTCGTAACTGTTACTCCCACACTGATGGGGAAGGGGAAGGGGAAGGTGAAGAATACTAAATCGTAAATTTTTTGCTGATATATTTGCTCTCATCCCTTGTAAATGCTTCATCTCTATTCTTCATAGTCGTTTCTTAGCCAGCATTCTGTAATTGCCCTAAAGATTAATATGTACCGATGCTTTCTGTGGAGAAGGTTTGAAAAGGTTCTGATCCTTTAGATGGAGACTTGTGATGAGAGATCATCGAGCGTGTGCAGATTTTTCTAAAATTCATCCACTAGGCGTTGCGTTCGGATGTAAATCGTTAGTTTGCTATAGGGTCATTGCATTCAAACTTTATTATATTGTTCAAGTTGTTGGTCTTAATATCTGCCTCATTCTTAAGTTGTTGGATCAAGTGGAATGTGAACATTCTGAAGGCAAAGTAATTGACTTCCACAAATCATTGCTTGATCTCTGGCGAATGATGGGAATTGTTTTCATGCTGCAATCTATGCTGGTATATTGCTGAGTTTTATTTCTTGTTAGATTTTCCCTAATCATGATATAAGAAGGGCAAATTGCAACAGTTAGATGGTANAAAAACTAACTAATTGTAATGTGCAACTTCCTAAAAGTAGCTGATCTATGATAGATAACTTTTAAAAAGTAATAATTATTTGCTGGCATGTAATATCTAAAAGTAGCTAATTTGTTATAAGCAATTTTTGAAATACAACTAAATATACTGATAAATAACTTCCTATTGGTAACTTGAATTAACAGTTTAAAAATAAAATAAATTGCAATAATCTCAAAGGTTACAATAAAGGCTGCAATTTTTTCGCCCCGACAAAAAAATGTTGGGTTAGGCTTCTTAAACTATCATGTTTGAGCATGTAAAATTTAGAATTAAAATTAACGACGGATTAAAGAAAAACAGCAACTAGATGACAATCACAAAATAGCACCTCCGTGAAACAGTCGCATCACATTCAACACCATATTCATAAAATAAAATTTATTCTTTTCTTTCCCTTTCTACAAAACTTACACATATCAATTGCAGTCTACATTTCACGTGGCCGATATATCAACCAAAGGCGCGCTAAAACTAAAAGTACAAAAAGGAACAATAGAGTGGTGACACAAAAAACTGAATCCGACATCTATTGGTTCTTTTTTATCTTCAGAGTGGACGAAGAAGAGAAACTGGAAGAAGAAGATGAGCGTTTATCTTGGTAAGAAGCTCTAAGTATAAATAGAAACGTCTCCACCAGCATTGCCCCAACCAATCCAAGAATGCCACCAGCAGCATTCTAAAAATCAAACAAGATCATTATCAATTTATCGATAAGTTACAGTGCAAATTGCTATTTTGTGAACAGAAGTAAAAAATTATAATTCCTACGCAAAAGTTACCATAGCAGGACTGCTGCCGAACAATGCCCTGAATGCTGCGTATCCAAGTAAGTATCCCGAGAACATTGTTACCACCACATGCAATCCTGTAAAAAGTGAACAAGTTTGGCTATCTCAATCCATTATGTGTGACAGACTATACAACATGAGTGCACCTTAGGCATTTTGAAAGCTTCAATGCTATTCAAACTTGAGATTCACACCTTCGACAGGTAAGATGGGGGTAGTTTCTTGGTTTTGAGTAGCTAACGGCTAAGGAAATTGAGAACTACTGTGTAAAAAAGCAAATGTCGTGCCAACTATTGCAATAAACATAATGAGAAAAATGGACCGAAGAAAATTTTGATTGTCGTGTAATAAGAAATAATTATGTCTGAGAGAAACAAAATGAATAAACCAATTAAGTGGAGGAAAAAATAAGTAGAATAAAGAAGACTCAGACGCAACAAATAAATTACAGGCACAGCAGAAATAAATGTTGTACAGAATAATTCTCATGAAAACATAAACTCATTTTCGACAGGCAGCTGAACCAAACTGATTAACAGAGATCATTGGATATAAAAGCTCAAGTTGCTGATGGAAGCACTTTTGTCAGACGTTCTCAGGCTAAGGTGACTAGTGCCACAATCTCTTGAGTGTATGTGTAACTGAAATAGAGACCAATAAACGGGACACTACTATAGACGTACTTGCAGCTTTCTGATGTTTTGGGCTCACTGGCAGTCACACAATTTTGAGAAGAAAATTGTGGGACTGTTTATCAAGAGGAAAATAATTGTGAGGCTACCAGACTAACGATATACTTTCTGTTTATACATCTGAGGCAATACAGATAAATTAATGAGGTATCTCTAATTCCTTTCGAATGAGTTTCTGCAAAGATCTCCTTCTGAAGGTTATATAATGAACTCAAGGGTGCATATTTTCCATAAACCCCACACATATTTACTTCACCTCGTCGGCCCTTTACACGAAATGCCCATACCTTTTCCATGTTAAGATGCCGATTTTAATTTTCTCAATAAGTTCCCCCGAATAAACACTCACACATTTTACACACAACAACCGTAGACAATTAAACAGCAAATAATACAACGATCATTCCACAATAAATCCCTAAAGGAAGCATTACTCCACAAAACACTATTTATCACAAAGAAACAGACGAAACATAACATAATCCTTGCGTTTTCCATATAAACTCTTAACGCATACAAAATCTACAAATTGATACCTTTTTTCCAAACAATAGATATTCTTACTCCAAGAAATGACAGAAACATATTTCATTTTCAACTACCAATTGCTATGTAACCGAAATAACACCACTGTTTATCACAAGAACTAAAGCGCACATAATCTCAATCTGTTCTCCTAGATACAAAATACTTATCCTCAAATCCATTGTAAGATGCATCTGAACACATCATGAAAACCGAAACAAACATAATGCAATAGCAACACTGAAAGAAAAAGGGAAAATTTACCAAAGCCCAACTGATCCTTGTAAGAAGAAAATGGCTCTTCCACAGTCTTTCTAGGAGTAATGTCCTTCACCAATTCTTCATACGCCTTCTTCTCAGCTGCCTCCTGTAGCTTTCTCAATCTCACCTTCAACTCCTCACTCTAGCAACCAAACCAAATTAAAACGGAACAACAATCAATCGCATGAATCGGAAGCACAAAAATAGACAGAGCTGCGAAAATGAAGGGCCCTAAAAACACAAACACCTGCTGAAATATACCTTTTCCCTGGGCTTAGGGCTGGTAAAGATGAAATTTGAACCGGAGAGGAGAGAGGACAAATCGGGTCGGCTTTCGCGTTCGGATCCGAACCATATCATTCTCAGGGACTTATAGGGTACGGTTGAGTGCGCCGAAAGGGAGGAGGAAAGGTCTCTGAGATCCTTGGGAAGATGAGAATCTGTGGAGGCGGCGGTGAGGAATGAGCGGATGACGTCGGTCGTGGATATGATCAGGCCGTCGCCACCGCCGGCGGTGGCCGCTGGCGGGAGGTTGGTTGATAGTTTGACGGAATCTGCTGTCTCCATGGCCATTTGGGTTGATATTGAAAGACTCTGGTCGGCGAGTTTGGTTCAATTTAACTGTTGACTTTGGGTTTTCAGATTATTATTAGAAAACTTTTTGCCAATGTTACACACACCAACTTCCATAATGATATGATCAGATTATGTGTACCGAACATAGTTGAATAAAACGACAGAAATGGATGGCAACTCAGACAAATTACATGGCCCTGAAGATTATAAAGATGCAGGAGAAAGAAAAAGGTCCAATGTTTGCATAAAAATTAAGGACACTATAATCCACATTTCATAAAAATCACTGGTAACAAACACACGCACGCGCGCGCACAGACTGTCAGCTTGCCCAACGCACTCCTTACGTGTTTTCAAGAATTGAGATTAATACAGAAAAAACGCGAGTACACATCAATCCAATTTACTCCCCAAATTCCCAACTTTAGTAGGATTTAACCTATTCAAATGCTTTGAGAACTCTGGACTTAAACTATCCTCCAAGTTCCACAAACAAAATATTAAGTATCTTGAGTAAAGAATGTATTACATAAATATGTTCCTGATACTGATTACTCATGAAAAGAAAATGCCTTCAATCAACTTCATTAGAGAAACTGGGCAAACATTGTCAATTTGCCGTAAAGTAGGACCAAATTCCAGTTTCTATCCAGATTGATGTTGCGATTAAATTGAATGGAACTAACGAAATAAATCTTCCAATGCACTAAGCTGTTTTCATCCTATGTGCAAGTTAAAAACATTACCCTCAACCTTTCTTCGAGAATACTGATGATCTGATCCTTGGAGTAGGCTCGAAATGCGATCGATCGACGGAGGAAGCGAACGGAGCTCGCGTGAAGGATTTCGCGATCGACGGAGGGAGGTCGCGTGGAGGAATCGTGCAGTATAATCGCCGCTTTGCGAACCGGTATTTTTTTGGGGACGGCCAAATTGGATTAAGGTTTTCTTTTTTTGTCAAGTATTTAAATCAGGAAGCATTGCATCTTGTTGAATGGATTGGGGGATTTACAAACACCCGTATATATAATAGTTATAAATAAATTTTATAAATACAAAGAGTTTTGAAAAAATAAAAATATAATTTTTATATTATAATTTCAAATATTTTTCAAAAATTTATATTACTTTTTTGTATATTAAATATGAATATCAAACAGAGGATTGTGGAAATTATAACAAATAAAGAAATTAAGTTTTAAATATATTTAGAATTTAAATGGAGTGAGCGTTTTATACTTTTAAAAGTGCTATGGATAAAAGTACATACATACATAAATTACTTTGAAGTACAAAAAAGTGATGTAATCAAGTAGCATATATGTTATTTCACTAAAGTAAAAAATGGTTTTTGCCAATGATCAAGAGATTTAACTAATTTTGAAATGACTAATTGAGAGCTACAATCACCTTAATGATACAAACTGGTTGTGGGCGCTCGGTTATAATAACATGAAATGAAATCACTAACGTTGAGTACGTTGCATATACGTTATTTCATGATATTAACAAAGATCTTATTATAAAAGTCGTTGTACTTCACGAAGCGTTTTCCATGCCAATAATGACTTGTACAAGATCGAGACCATACCAAACATTTAACAAAGTTGATAGAATGGTGGCTTAAGGGCTCAATGAATACCTCAAAATTGTCACACCAACGGATGCTCCTCCATCATTCTCTCTTGCCAATAACAACTCCAAAACAAGTCATTCTTAAGTTTTGGACCTCATTCATTTTCTCCACACAAACTCATCCACCTTTGAGTCCCCATTTTCCCTTTATCCCAAATACACAAAAAAGGAAAAGAAACCCCTATATGTACTCTCAACCATACAAATATTTTGTATTCTCTTTCACCCTCCTCCCAATCGCCTGGCCTCAGGGCAATGGCAACGGGCTCCGTCCAACCTTTGCCTCCGGCTCTGCCGCCGCCAGCACCGCCTCAGCCAATCACGGCGCCTTATGGGTACCCGCCCTTCATCATTGTTCTCACCTCTCTCCTACTCCTTATCTTCTTTCTGGCCTTCTTCTCCATCTACTTCTGTCGCAGCTTTTTCGGCTCATGCACGAGCCTCCGCGGCGGCTTCACAGGGGACGGCGGCGCAGGTCCCACCGCCCGGCCCTCCCCTGAGACACCCGGTCCAGGCCTCGACCCTGTCCTCGTCCGATCATTCCCCACCTTCGCCTACTCGACCGTCGAGGGCTTCCAGAAGGAAAAGTATGGGCTCGAGTGCGCTATCTGCCTCGTCGAGTTCCAAGGCGATGACGTGCTCCGGCTGTTGACCACGTGCTACCATGTGTTCCATGAGGAATGCGTGGACCTTTGGCTCGGGGGCCACCGTACGTGCCCCGTGTGCCGACGGAACCTCGACTCCCCTGGGACCCAGTCGCCCGTAATGTCCCCAAGCCGCGGTGACGAGGCGACGGGGGTGGGGTCCGAAAGCTATACTATTACGATTAAGGAGGGAGACGAAGAGGACAAGGGAGAAAGTGGTGACGTAAAAAAGACCGTGAGGTCGCACTCGACGGGGCATTCGTTGGGCGCGGATCTAGATAGATATACTCTAGTGCTGCCGGAGCACGTGAGGTTGAGCATCATTAGGGGTCATCACAATCCAAGCCATAGTTGGCCTACGTTCGAGAATTCGAACGACACTAGAGATAGTAATGGTGTCGGTGATCGGATTCCGACAAGGTTAGACGGTGGAGATGGAGGAGAAAACAAAGAATAGATTTTCCAAACGGATTCTTTTTTGGATTCTTTGATTATGCATTGCTTCCCCTTCTAATTCTATGCACGAAGAAAAATGAATTGCAGAGGAGATGAAATCGCATTAAGTTAAGGATGGTGTATTCAATCAAAATTTTTAAAAACTTTATTTTTAGAATTCTGTAAACTTTTTGAGATTTCTTTTTTTCTTTTTCTTTTTTATTTTTCTTCTGAAATGCTAGATGCAATAAATAAGCGAGGTAATTACAAACTAGAAAACAACTAATACTGCTGAATCAAACTATAAAATTTGAATCAAGAAAAATTGTACAGAGGCAGCCTAGAACTAAACTAACTCCTACTATAAACTAACAAGAAAAATCACAACACAACTACCAACATCCCATAAAGGGAGACTCAAAAACTCCAACAATGGAGACTAAGAGCATCTCCAATGCTATTGTTGAAAGGAAAAAAAATGAATGTCGTGTCATCGTTGAAGACAATGTTTTCACATTTTTATCTCCACTGGACTCTGTCATGGTATAATTTTTTGTGACGCGTAATGACTACTGTGAAGTCCACTGTTTGATTTTTATCTCCACTGGACTCTGTCATGGTATAATTTTTTGTGACGTGTAATGACTACTGTGAAGTCCACTGTTTGAAAGCAAACAGTGTATTCGACCTTAAACGTGTCAAATTTGTATTTATTTGATATATACAACTAACACGAATTTTATATTTTAAAAATTAAACCATGTTGTATTTACTTGATACATAAAAATAACACAATTTTTATATTTTAAAAATTAAATCATTTTGTATTTACTTGATACATATACATAAAAATAACATTGAATGTAAACACGATTTCTATAAATTAAACCATTTTGTATTTACTCGATACATATACATAAAAATAACATTGAATGTAATTACAATTATGTTACAGTGTAAAAATTTATATTTACTTGATACATAATATAAAAATTAAACCATTTTGTATTTACTTGATACATATACATAAAAATAACGTAATTACAATTTTTATAATTAAAAAATTAAACTACGTTACACCGTGTTACAATTTTTATAATTAAAAAATTAAACTACGTTACACCGTGTAAAAAATTGTATTTACTTGATACATAATATAAGAATTAAAATATTTGTATTTACTTGTTACATATACATAAAAATAACGTAATTACATTTTTTATATTTTAAAAATTTGTATTTACTTGATACATAATATAAAAATTAAACCATTTGTATTTACTTGATACATATACATAAAAATAATATTGAATGTAATTATAATTTTTATATTTTAAAAATTAAACTACGTGTCAAATTTGTATTACTTGATACATACAGATAACAAGATTTTTATATTTTCAAAATTAGACTACGTTGTATTTACTTAATATTTTTCTACCGTAAAAATTTGATTTTCTTACTTTTATTGCTTATTTAGTTTTGTAAAGATGAAAGCATTTTTTAAAGCGTAATTAAATAATTAAAATCTCAAAGGTTGGAGTCTCAATATGTTTTATCTAATGAATCTGGTTAATCTTTTATAAGTTGGTTTATAATTTTGTTTTTACTTGATACATAATATAAAAATTAAACCATTTGTATTTACTTGATACATATACATAAAAATAATATTGAATGTAATTATAATTTTTATATTTTAAAAATTAAACTACGTGTCAAATTTGTATTACTTGATACATACAGATAACAAGATTTTTATATTTTCAAAATTAGACTACGTTGTATTTACTTAATATTTTTTTACCGTAAAAATTTGATTTTCTTACTTTTATTACTTATTTAGTTTTGTAAAGATGAAAGCATTTTTTAAAGCGTAATTAAATAATTAAAATCTCAAAGGTTGGAGTCTCAATATGTTTTATCTAATGAATCTGGTTAATCTTTTATAAGTTGGTTTATAATTTTGTTTTCTAGAAAATAAATAAACGTACACATACAAATGATAGAAGGAAAGTGAAGCATTGGAGAGAGTTTTATAATGTTATATTATATGACGTCAACAGCGACATTATAACATTGACCGTCATGCACTGAAGATAAGTGCATGATGCTCTAATAACTCCAACAAATGGACAATAACCACTAGAACAGAAACACAATATATATATATATAGAGAGAGAGAGATTGATTCCAATGCATCCACTTATTTAAAGTGAGAACGTGAGACTCATTTTTAGCCACAAGATTTGGTACATCATGTGTGGCCAAAATTTACTCTTTTCTTTTTATTATTTTAATTATTAAATATTTTTTTGACCCGTTGACTTCCGGCGTTGACCGTTGACTTCCGACGAAATCCGTTGACTTCTGGCGTTGACCGTTGACAACTAACCTTCCAACTTGGTTAGTTCTATGTAGTTGCTAGGCTAGTTGTCTGTAGTTGCTAGGTTAGTTGTCTGTAGTTGCTAGGTTAGTTCTCTGTAGTTGCTAGGTTAGTTCTATGTAGTTGCTAGTTTAGTTCTCTGCAGTTGCTTTTTTTTTAAACAAACAACGCCCCGGAAGGGCGGGGGATTGGGCACTCTGCAGTTGCTAGGTTAGTTCTCTGTAGTTGCTAGGTTAGTCAGTCAGACAGCTGCCGGGCCATCTTGGCTGGCCAAAGAGGTCTCTGTTAATCACGCTCTAGCCGGGCAGCCATAACTCATCCACCAGACTGTGGTAAGTTGTCTCTTTATATCTCAAGGATAAAGAGGTACGATCCTTGTAGAACAGATCCTGTTCAAGTAAGGTCGTTAGTTAGTAGTTGCTAGGTTAGTTATGCTAGGTTAGTTATCTGTAGTTGCTAGGTTAGTTCTCTGTAGTTGCTAAGTTAGTTCTCTGTAGTTGTTAGGTTACTAGTTGCTAGATTAGTTCTTTGTAGTTGCTAGGTTGGTTCTTTGTAGTTGCTATGTTAGTTCTTTGTAGTTGCTAAGTTAGTAGTTGCTAGGTTAGTAGTAACTAGGTTAGTTCTCTGTAGTTGCTAGGTTAGTTCTCTGTAGTTGCTAGGTTAGTTGTCTATAGTTGCTAAAAGTTGGACGCATTTTAAGAGCTGGTTGCATTTGATCCGCCCTATATATATATATATATATATATATATAAACACCTACAAGCTACTAAATAGAATTCACCCTCCCCATACACCAACAGACCTCCACGGAAACCGACAACCCACACCAAAGCAAAAGGAAAAATCTGAGACAGAGAAAACATGCAAAAATCATGACCCATATCTAATAACTCCAAATACCAAATTGGCTCAAATACGAGTAGGAAATTGGAAATTCAAATTGGTTACCGACTAGTCAGATCTAGTAGATCCATGGGCCCCCCGACCAAGGGTCTGACTCGGATGGTTGTCACTTCCCCACAATACTCGGTCTCCCCTGCTAGCAGCTCTGTGAAGAGGAATAAGACTCACGCGAGTCCGACTCCAAAACTGGCCGAGAAGGTGAGGCTCTTGACGGGGCCTTGGATCCTTGGTGCCTGCATCGGAAACCTAGAGATGCCAAAGGAACATGGGGAGGCCGGAAGAAACTTGCCAGTGGGTACTCTGCTTTTTTCCTTTCGAGAGAAAAGTTTATAGAGATTGGAAATTATTGAGGCTTCTCATTTATCTTTGATGAGTTATATAATTTATTTATTTTTTATTTATCACAAATGTTTAACGCGGTTCTTTCTTTTATTTATTTATTTATTATCACTATTTTATGTATGGTTGCTTTTATCCTCTCATTTGTTTACTTGTGAATTTGACTTTTCAAATGTCAAATATTATCCGTATAGTTTGCAATTCCTAAGAATTTCACTTTTATCACTGTCTTTTGACAACGTGTGTGTCTTGTAAAAATATATCCTAATAATATTTTTCTAATACTCAAACATGATGTAAAAAATAAATAAAAAAAATAAAAAAAGAGAAATTAAAGATTGAACAATAATCACATAACATGTCATGACCGGATTGATTATGAGTGTCATTCCTGTTAGGTTATGTGCGAAACATCGATCGACGTGCATAATCAAATATCTAAGAATTCAATCCTAAGCACAACATATCTTAAGTTAGGATATTGGAATCTTACGGTTTAAAATTTATTTGTCGCCTTTAAGAGATGGTAATGCTCTATGAAACCGCGCGAATGAATCACATCTGGATCTTCTGCCGTATATCCGGATACTTCTCCAAGCTCATCTTTTGTGGGCGACAATTGCTCGGATCTCCCTCAGAGCCTCACGTGTGAACTAAAGTCGGGAAAGAAGGAAGAAGATTTTGTGTTTTTAGAATACTATTTTTTTTTCTTTCCTAGATCTTCATGTTTTTTCCCTCTATCATTCTTGCGTGTTTTTAGCAGAGAAATCAAGAGAAACATTGTTTGTGTACTGAGACTCTTATGATTTGGTGTATTATAGGCTATAATAAAGACCTAGAGGAAGAGTTAATTAATACACCCCATAAGATTATGTAACTAAGGTTCTGGTCCACCTAAAAAAAAATATTATTGAAATTTCTATTTAACCCCATATTATATTTACTTCGGCTCCATATTTATTCACTAGATTTATCTTCTATGTTTAAGATATTGCATTATTTAATTAATTTAACTACTGACAATATACTTAATTAACTTCTCATTTTCAAAAATTAGTTTAACTACTGACAATATAATTAATTACTTTTTAAATTTAAATATAGTTTTTTTAACAAGCACCGATGTAATACAAGAGAATTGTTCTAATAAATTATAATATATTATAATTATCATACATATCAACTAATTATTCTCTAACACTTTCACCTATTTTTATATTATATATTTGTTGTTGCTTGTTTTGATAAGCAGTAATCGCTCCTATATATAATTCTCCGAATGTGCTGAGTCTAAGTGGCATACTTGCACGCTTTGAGATCTTAGGTGACAAATTTCTATGATTTGTTATTTGGTTTTGATGAATTTTAATTTATTTTCAATTCAAAATTAACTAGACTTGGACTATCCATAAATATACGGGATATTTATGGTCCCTTTCCAGAGTTATAATTATGTTTTAATAATATTTCTATTGTATACGTGATTTTGTAAGGTATAATTTTTTTTTTCATTCTTTCTTTTAAAATTATAACAAATTTACTAAATTAAATTATATATATTTATAAATAAATTTTTTATTTATTAATTTTTTTTATATATAATATATCTAATTAATCATATCTTGATGAGCTTCAATTTGACATCTATTTTATAGATACTAAATAAATAAAATTATTTAAACTAACTTAACTACAAAGTAGTTATCTGATATAAATTTTTTAAAAAATTTAATATAATATGATAAGTCGTGTAAATGACGGTGTCATTTTAAATATAAATAATAATATACTTTTTTAAAAAGTATTTAAAACTAATACAATTTTCGTTGTTATTATTATTTAATTTGAAATATAATTAATTTTCTTAAAAAGTACTCGTGTAGTACACAGGGTAATGTACTAATCTATATCTATATCTATATAAAAAGAATAACCATTTACTAAAAATAATAGCAAAAATGTCAATGAACATTTAATGCATACTTTATTTAGAAACTTTTTAAATATATGCATTAATTGCTTTAATATACACATTTTCAAATCAGATGTGATTAAAAAGATTCTTTCCTTTAATAATTTTATTAACAAATGCAATAATTCTATTGATATCCAGTATAATAAACTATAATTTGATTTTTCGTGATTGGTTTGGTAATATTTTGGTCAACATAAACATGAAAACAAATTTTAAGTCTTAACAATATTTTTAATTTTTTTCACAAATGTTGACTTTCATCCTAAAATATTTATAAACAATCGTAACATGTTAAATAATTTTCTCCGTCTAACTACTTAGCCGAAATCAAGTTGGTGAATTAATATTCATAACCTTTATTAAATTATTAAAACAAATAATTTTTAAAATTAAAATAATTTATCATTTACGAGACAATAATTACATCATTAAATAATTTATTAATGACTAAATAATAAAACTAAAATTTGTTAACTATTCTTTACAGTTTCAACATTTGATTTATTTGTATATTATTATCAACCATGATAATTTTATCATTTCTTGTTTTTATTTGTTTCCATATTTAGTTTATTGTAAAATATATATTTATATTGCATAGTATGTTAAATAAACTAATAAAGCTTAGGATGCAAATTAGAAATCCCTTGATTGTGTAAGGGTTTATTATTTGACAATTTTCTAAATCCAATGTTTTTAATTATTATGAGAAAATTAAATTCTAAGAAACATGTGTGTGTATTTTGTAAACATTTATACACAAAAGTTTATTTTAAACTTCATTACATAACTAAGAAGAAGAAAACTACTTCTAAAACCTTTATAAATAATAATAATAATGACATTATATGACAATAAATATTATAATAAAATAATAATTGAGTATTATATGGTGAACAATAATAAGCATAATTTTTATTTTATTTTTTATATCGATGAATAAATATATATTGTATAATCAAATTTATATTAACTAGTACGTACCCGTGCGATGCACAGGACAAAGATATTAAATGAGTTATTTTCACACTCTTGTCCATTTAAGTTTAAAAAATAATAGGGTTAATATCTATTTTCTACCTCTTTTAATCAACGTTAAGTCTAAAAAACATTAGGGTTATTATAATTCTTTTTCACATCTTTTAACCAGCGTTGTTTTTTTTAGTAAGAACATTAAATATGAGCATGTTAAGGCTAGCTTGTAATTAATATATTATCTCACTAAAATATTTATACTAATAAAAATTTAATTTTAGCATATAAATTTATCCCTTGATATAAGAGAAAGTAACAGTTTTACTTATTGTTGTTAAGTATATAATATTTAATTATTATTTTATTATATAATAAAAATGAATATTGTTAAATAGTGTAGTAGAATTGTTATAAAATTATATGAATTATTTTTTTTTACAATATGGATTTAATATCTTTAAAGGATTTGATAATGTAACTATAATATATTCTTAATGATATAATAATATGAGATACGGATTTACATAATACTATGGATTTATTCCTTAAATGTTAAGATATTGAATTAGGTAATATATGATTCGCTAATTTGTAATATGTCTCTTTTTATATTTAAAATAATCATGTGATTGAGTAGAGATAACAATTATCTAGAAATTCCTTCATTTAAGGAATAATTTTTAAATTGATCCAAGTGTTGAATGCAGTTCGATTTTCTTGTAACTAAAATGAGAAGAGATTTTGATTTTAAATTTTCACTTCAAAACCACACATAAATTTGGATGCAGATTTTATTAAAAATAAAATGAGAAGAAATTTTGAATTTCATATTCACTTTAATATCTGTCGAAATTTTCAAAAATGAATTCAACAAAACCCATAATTTTAGGGGCATTTAATGCTATCCTATTTTATGATATAAAATATCTAAAATTTTTTAAATATGGTGTGCAATTAATTATTTTAAAAGATGAACCGCTTTTGTTACCAAAAACTGTGGGCACAATTTTGAATATACATCCCGTCCAAATATCAATTTTATTTTAAAATAAAAATTGCACGCGGTTTTAACCAATCTACACACTTTTTTTGAAAGAAAAAATTATTCATTAAGATTGGAAGAATTGGTTAGAAATTATACAACTATTTGTTTCGTAAATTTGTATCCAATTTGCACAGTTCTTAAATTGATTTATATTTAGAATTATTTTCATAAATAATTGACACATTTTTTGCATAAGAATTTCTAAATTTGTTACCAAAAAAGATATGATTTAAATTTTAGTAAAAAAATGAAATATGATATGAAAAAAATGGGATTCAAATTTTGTCATAAGAATCTCCAAATTTGTAACCGGAAAAATAGGATTCAAATTTTGTTTCTAAAGATTTACATGTGTTTTTTTCGAAATTTCCATTAATAGTAAATCAAACATTATATTTATTTGGTCAAACTTTCTATTAATGTATTTTTCCAACAACCTCTTTATATATATATAGATATAGATATAGATATAGATATAGATGTAGATATAGATATAGATACAACGTGTTAGCATAATAATATATTAATTAACATGTCAACATTATGACTAAAATAAAATATCACTCATTGAAATAAGTGAAAAATTGATGATCCAACCCTATTATTTTTTACTAGAACATACAAACCCTATAAAAATGACTCAATTAATATGTGTCTCGTGCATCGCATGTGCTATGCACTAGTACTTAGTAACACATATATATTTTTTGGAAGAAATATAATGTTTTAATAAAATTTATTTAGTTTTATATATTTTTTAAATTCATTATTTTAATAATATATTAGTTTGTTGAACGTGTGATATTGTTAATCTAAAAATAACTGAGATACGATACTAGAGTTCATGGGGTAAAAGTAAAACAAATTCAACAAACTAATCACTCAATTATCGGGAGTCGAAATGGAAGCAGTCGAGAAAAATAACTGGAAAAACAAATTCAACAAACTAATCAGCACAATGCTCCTTTAATCTTGTAAACCTCTTCAAACCATTATAAATCTCTGCGGTGAGTTTGTAGCGTGTACTGCGTGTTTTTTCATTTTTCACCTGAACAATGTACGGATTAATCGCTTCAAGGCGTTTGCAAAGCAAATACACTTCTTTGAACTGGTTCAGCTCGTTCAGTGCTTCAAGGTACTAATCATTTTTGGTTTTAAAGAGGGATTGAGGTTTTCTGGTTTGCTTGTTTGTATTCGAAATTTTGATGGCTTCGATGATCCGAGCATGAGACTGTTAAACGTGGTGAAAAGTTGAAATCTTTATTTGATGGTCGATTGAGTTTTATTATTTGCTAGGGATTTTATGTTGATGGTAAAAAAAAAAAAAGAAAATTCTGTTTTATAAGATAACCAATCATATGTTTGAACTCTGATGAATTATGGTTGGACAGTAGCACTTGGACTACAAAGCTGGTGGGTAAAATCTGTTTGGTTATTAAGAATCTTTTTTGGGGATTTATGGTAAGAGATTGAGGATTTTGGGTGAGTTTGTTGTGTTCAAAATTGGATGGTTTGGGTAGTGATCCGAGCATGAGACTGTTACAGTGGTAAAAAAATGGAATTTTTTCCATGGTTGATTTAATTTTATCATTTGCTGGGGATTTGATATGAGGTAGAAAAAGATCCGTTTCATAAAATAAATGATCATGTTTTCAAACTCTGATGAACACCGTAGAGTGATTGGATAGTAGCACTTGGGCTACAAAGCTGGTGGGTAAAATCTGTTTAGTTTTCAAGAATCT